CTGCAAACTGAGGTGGGGAACCAAATAAGAATGAAAAATTGTTCCAAGTTTATTGAGTTTTGCTTGTTGCCTTAGCAGTTGTTTAATGACTTAATCCGTGATTTCTCCAATTGAAAAACATTTTTGGAAACTATTTTTATTATGCGCTGATTGCACATGAAGCATTAAAAATGAGACTCAAACTTACATTTTTTTTAAAGGTTTTATTTTCTCTAGTTGCCTTTATTTTGAGAGTTGGTCAGACAGGAAGTGGGGAAAAAGTGCGGCAAATGTCCGGCCGGAACTTGAACCTGTGACGGCTGAGACAAGGACTAAGCCTCCATACATGCGTTGTGCTTTACCGCTCCGCCACCACAGCACGAACCAAATCTACTTTTATTGAGTCTTTCTGAAGCAATGTAACGCAAAAATCCCAGAATCCTTGCATGTTCTGATCCATCTCTGATGCCCCCTTCTGATCCTTGTGAGATATTACAACGTTAGATCAGAGCTCAGTAAGTCTCCGACCTCTGCTCTCATGAATGTGATAGCCAGAAAAGACTTGTTTGCTTACATATTCACATTAAAGGCAGCCATGCCATCATCTCTTCATGTTGAGATTAAAGCCAGCAGCTGTTAGCCAGTCGGGTCATTCATGCTGACATGTTTACTGGTGGTTCTTCTCCCACTGCAGCCTCTGTGTATTTACAGACCCTTGAGGTTGACGGGCCATCAGCTGCTATCAGAGGCCCCTTTTAGGACATTCTGTACAAGCACACAGAGACCCTGCATCACCCTACTTTTCGAAATGGAGCAAAATGGCCACCTTTTTGACTGGACCCCCAATTTTGCTCCTTAAGAGCTCAACACAAGTGCAATCATGAGTAAATTTAAAGGTGTCTTCTGTGAAGGTGCTTCTCAATAACTTGAATATCATCAAAAGCAAATTTATTCCAGTGATTACATTTAAGAAGGGGAATTCATATAGAGCCAAATAAGGTATTTACATAAACTGTCCTTAAAAGACACTACTTATTTTTCTCACTTTTTGAAGTTAAATTGAACTTTTTCTGGTTTTAGGAAATGACCAAAATTAGTTTTTAGCAGCCTTTTATTTTTTACATACATTTTGTGTTTGGTAGAATTTCCACCAAAACATGTTGTGCCAGTTTTTGATTTTCTTCAATAAGTTTGTAACTAAACTTTCCTGGAAGTTTGACCTGTTCCTGCTGAGAGAACCAAAGTAACTGAGTCATGTTTGTTTGCCAACATATTTTCACTAAGACCAAAGATTTGTTCTTACGCCACTTGCTAACTCAGTTGTATTTATGCTCAAGACCTATTTTAGCCAGATTTCAATTCTTGTCTGTTTTAACATGTTGCTTCAATATTTCCACATATTTTTCTGCTTTATTGTATTAGGTGCACCAGTCATTCATCTCATCCAGCAAAATGCCAAAAACTTGTTTCCTAGATTAAAAATACCTTTCAAATTACCTTTAAGCAGGTATTAAACATACTTTTTGTTACACCCATATTTCTGTATTAATTTCTTATTAGTCTGATATAAAATTTTAAACTTAAATGCCATGTTTTTATTAGTTGTAAGTGGGAAATCAATTATCAGAAATAAAAGGCTTCAAAGAATCAGTCTGTGTAATTAACATGTTACAAGGTGAATTTAGCTAATGTAATAAAGTAAAAAACTTAATAGTATTAACATTTATTGAATAGGTTTGCATTTGTGTATTGTGCTTATTTAATATTCTTTTGCTCTATAATTATTTGGTAGCTATAGTTAAAATTGACAGAAAAAGACTAAGTAGATCACTGCGCATAATTCATGTTTTAAATGTAACTTAATATTAAAACCTGTGATCATCTCACCTGTCATCATTTGAGTTACTAATCAGAAAGTGTAATGCAGCATGAAAAAAAAAAAACGAGTTTGTTTAATAATGGGAAACATTTTATTACTAAAAAGCCATTTGATACTGAAGGTGCTCTTCCAGCAGCGTTTCCACGACTATTTATTGAAATCACAAGATTTGTTTTACCACTGGATGTAAAGAAACGAATTAAAGATACAGGAAAGGACAGTAACTGTGGACTATATATACACACACAACGTTTGGAGGGCGAGGAGAAGAGGTGTGGCTTCTACATGCCAGCATTGTTTGGTGCATCAAACACCAGGCTCATACTGGAGGCACTTGAATGTGAGAGCCTTTAGAGCCAGGATGTAGCCAGAGTGCAGGGGAGGGAGGAGGAAGGAAAAGGATTAAAACACACAAAAATAAAAAAATTTAAAGTTAATCGAGAATGCATATGCATCTTTTCCTTCAATTTGGGTCAAGTGTCAGAGCATGGGATGAAGTCGGTGCGGTTTACCGTTACATGTGGGACGCGGGGTTTGCAGACACGGAGCATTTACACAGGCTGGCACCACATACAGAGTACAGAGGGTGCACATTCAAAAAGCATGCATCGTCCCACAGCCAGGTTAAAAACCAAACATGACGTCTGCTTCTACGACAAAATTCAACCGTATGCTGCTTGATATCGTTTGATGCAATAGATGTTAAAGTATTTACAGGAATTATACGTTTTCTTTTAAACATCTGTAACTCCAGTGCCCGTTAAATAAAAAGTCTGTCACTGCATTGCAGCGTATGAGGGGAGGGTTTACCATGAAAACCAAGAGAAAGTCAGCGTGTCCAGAATGGCTACCGTTGCAGTGATCTATTTACAAGAAAACATGTAACGCGGAGCAGGAAAAAAAAAAAAAAAAAAAAAAGATGACATTCTGTAAATCTGTAGAGGTCAGGCGCCTCGCTGCAGAGTCCCTTACAGAGCTGGTTTAGTGGTCAATTCTGTCCCGTCGGCTCTTGGGAGTGTTTGTGGCGTTTAGGGGGTTAGATTTTCTCCTGGATAAACGGGTGCTGCAGAGCCTGGTTTATGCTGATGCGCTTAGCCGGGTCCAGCATCAGCGTGCTCTCCAGCAGGTCCTTCAGCTGCATGACCTTCTTCCTCTGGTCCTCAGGAAGTCGCTGACCGCCTATCAGCTCCGCCAGCAGGTCTTTGGTGGGGTTCATGGTGCTCATTACAGTCACTTTCTCCTATTGGACCACAGACTAGTCAGATCAAAGTTAAAACAAACAACAAAAAAAGCAGAAAATAAAAAAAAAACAAAAGTATCATCACCCCTTCAACATTTTTACATTTTGTCACAGTGATAAAATTCTACGTATTTCACTGAGATTTTATGTTGTAAAGAATTGTCACGTGGAAGGAAAATTATAAACAGGTTAGATAAATTTCGCAGCTCATAGTGGCAGCATGCTGGAGCAGCTCTGACATCTGGTCTTTTTTTTCTGGTTTACCTCGTTGCATGTTTGGATAATTATTCCTTTGGTATAGATGCTGTGCAACAATGGAAGAACTACTGCCCTCATTTATTCTTTTTTCATATATTTCAGGCAGTTGCTATGATGCATATCTGTGGCAACAAGGTATTGTTTTTACAACTGTGAGCAGCTGATTAGCACAGCAAAACCTCAATTAATACCTGAATAATGACCCCAATTTCTAGAAAAGGTAGCGCAACAGTTTTCAGTCAGAGGCCTCCTCAGATGCGTTGCAAGACTGACTGCTACCATTCATCCTACCCACACCGTCACAACATACTTTGATGAAATTAGTTACAACATTTCATTTGAATTTTGTTGGTATTTTGGACCTAATCCTTTCTCATAATTACAACGAACACTACAGGAGAAGCTAGTATGATTTAAGTCCAGAAAAGACAACAAATGTCAGGAAAAATTTTGAACGATGACGTTCTCTTTCAGAGCTGCACTAGATTTCATTTAGGGGTGTCAGAGAGATGAATATAAACATTTTGTAATTTAAGTCCTACTTTACAAAATACACTGAAATGTGTTTTTTTTTTTTTTTTTGATGAAAAAGTTGATTGGGGATGAGTACTTCTGCAAAGCACTATAAATCTTAAGATCATCTTACCCTTTCAGTCACTTTGTCTACTTCAATGTACAGGAAGTTCAAGTTCTGATCGAAGTGCTGGTCTTTGAACAAGCCTTTACGTATCATCTAAAGAAAAGGATCCACACAGTTGCATCACAGAAAAGCAACATTTCTCACTTCACTGAAGGGACGTGATGCAACGCTACCTTGTTGGGCATCTTGCCCTTGAGGTCCATCGCCAGCTTCAGCATGTGATTGTTGGAAGATCCGGGAAGCAGGATTTTGCCGGTGTACAGCTCGTATAAAGTGCAGCCAACGGACCACATGTCGATGCCGTAGTCGTAAGGCTTCCCTATGACTGAGGAGGAAACCCGAGGTCACACAGAAACTTACTAGCGGCTCTACTATAGACGAGTAAAATGCTTAAAATATCCCTCTTTTATTGCAGCAGCATGAAGTCACACTGATTATTTGAGAAAACTCAAATCTTTAATCTTTTTTTATTTACTGTAAAAACCAAAAAAACAGTGCAACTTACTAATTTCTGGAGCTCTGTAAAACCGGCTGACCAGATATGGTGTGATGTCATTGTCAGCGACATGTGATGCAGAGCCAAAGTCGCAGAGCTTCAGGATGGTTTTGGATTCGTTCACCTTTCATTTAAGAGACAATACAATGACATTGGATATGTGTGGATGCCATTTCAAATATGACAGAGGGTGTGAATGTTGATGGTACCAGGATGTTGTCTGGCTTGATGTCAGCATGGAGGATGTTGCATCGCTTGAGCAGCTTGAGGGCCAAGAAGAGCTGCTGGCTGTACGATCGAACGGCTTTGATGTGGAGCCCGACGTCTTTGCCGTATTTCTTCAGCACCTCTCGCAAATTCATGCTACGAAAGACACAAGTCGTGAACAATTGAGGTGAGATGAATGCTGTAATGCAAGAGGAAAAGAGGAAAATCTGGCGCTCGGTACCTCAGAGGCTCGAAAACAAGACAAAGATGCTGCTTATGGTAGAAGTGGCGGAAGAGGCGAAGGCAGTGGAACTTGTCGTCGGGATCAGCGTCGTTCAGCTTCCTGAGGAACTCCAACTCTTTCAAACCGGTTTTCTGCCTGTTTACCAAAAACACGGGTAATTCAAATAACAGATTTATACTTCATACTTTTTAAGACTCAAATCTCCAAATTTCTTGTACAATTTCATCTAACTTTTCAAAAACATGGCCGTTTATCTGGGATGAAAAACTGCCAGGTGTTCATCACAGATAAACAACTAACTGATTAAACTGCTGATCTGTCAAATAAAATTCCATTAAAATACTCTAAGGCTTGTGGTTGTAATGTGACATCAATGCATAAATATGTTCATCTTAAGATCTTACATGATACACAAATAAACATTTGGTTGGAGCGGTTCATTTTCAGTTAAAAGAAAATAAAGTTTACGATTGTATGCGCTTTTTTTTACCCCAATACTTTAATTTTCGTCTACGCTTTTCCGACACTAAAACCAAAAACTGTCATACAAAATCTATCAGTTGTACAAATAACTTTCAAGCTCTTGAGTTCCTAAAGCTGCAGTTGACTTAAGTGACTCACATGAGCTCATTGTTTCGGATGATCTTGACCGCCACCTCCTGGCCAGCCCTGGCAGTGTCCCTGGCTCTGATCACGTTGCTAAACACACCCTGGCCTGTGTAGCCGTAAACATCATAGCGCTTGTCTAATGTCTCACCAATGTTTACCCCTAAAAATACAGACAAAAAACATAATTATTCATGTGAACGAGGCTGTTTTACAACCTAAAATGCAGATTAACATGCAGAGAATCTGACAAAACATGACAGTGATGGACTCTTAAGTTGCAGGATCAAAGACGGTTATGTTCCAGGATTTGGAAGCACTTACTGTAGTAACCCTCAGCATCGGTCCAGTTGTCCCTGAGGTTGGGGTTCTCCTTGAAGTCCTTTCCGACACCTGCTGCTCTCATTCTGGCGCTCTGCAGAGACAAGGAAGGCCAATCATCACCTGAGCCCCTCAGATCGTTTTCCTTCCGTTAACCATAGAAAGCGGGTGAAACCCCGAGTACTTACGTCAAAGTGAGCAGCAAACATGTCATCTGACTCTGTAAACATGTCGGGGGCTGAAGGCTTCTTTGGGTTGGCTGCTGAAACAAAACAAAACAAAAAGCAACCAGAAGGAGAGGCGGTGAGTTGCTCGGCTCAACACGTCGTTTAATAAAACAGTAAATCTGTGTTTGATTAACATACTCTGCAGAGCTCAAAACATGCTGCAGGAAGCAGACACAACCAGGCTTTGGAAAACAAGCCAGCAACTGAATGAACACATGACAGAAAAAGATATTCAATTAAAATCCCTGCCTCACAATGCTGCACTTTTCAAACAGATCAAGCCAGCGGTTTACGAAAGGCTTTTACACGTCGGCTTTTAATGCCATCTGATATATATCAGACTGCACTGTTATGATTTTTGTCGGCTCGTTTCTGTTTCCACATCTAACCTTTGTAACAGTGTTATTCTGCCTCTAATAAGAAATAAAGTCGAGGAGAGCTGCAGACACATTTGATGTCCAAAATCATGATGTTTGGTAGGAATTTTAGTAATTTCTCACAAATTTTTGTGGTAAATAATATGTCAGAAATCGTTACATTAATCCAGTTATATTTAAAATAGTTTCATATAATCAAAGAAACATGACTTCTTCTTGTCCGAGTTGGTTTTTGTTTTTTGTCAACATGGAGAGATTATGATGCTGAACATTTTTCATTATTTTTCTTTTGGTAACTAGCAGTAATTTTTTCTAACTTACCTATTAAAGTCAGTTTAATAATATTACATTGCATTCATTAAAAATACCCAACCTTTTTTAATCTCTCAACTTAAAAGTGGAAGGTTTTCTGGTGGAAGCAGGAAATTCCCTTTTTGCTTCTCTAAAATCAGCCTGATGTATTGTAGGTAATGCAGTATGAAGTTTTTATGTTTTATTATTATCCAAAATATACTGAAAATGCACTATGTGCTTCTGAAAATGCTTACAATTTGACTTAAACGGCAGCATAAACTTAAAAAAAAAGAGTAGATTTTCACACCTAATTTACTTCTACACCTGCATAAATGTGTTTCAGAGCCTTTAATAGTTTATTTTAATGAACATATTCCCTGTGACTTTAGCAAAAAGTCTTCACTGAGGATAATGAGGTCAAAAGTAGACATACAGGTTCAAATTGTAATATAAATATTTGGTCAAAAGTCCCTTATCAGCATTAACCCATCTGGGTATTTGACCACCAGAGTTTAAACAGGCTGGTTTCCTCAGAATGTGAAACGGGGCTGAATGTTTATATTTCAGCCTGTTTGAATCATTTTGACCCTGTGACTTCATTTAACTTCTATTAAAAACAAATCATAGAAGTTATCTTCTGTGTATTCATTCCACCCTGAAACAAAGGCCAAAATAACATGACATTTGTGTCCAATTGTTAATTTTTTCATCGGAGCTGCAGACGACTCTGCTGATTGGTTTGTTCGGTCATCTCCACTAGGACTTTACCGTCTTTCTCCTGGGCGATGAGGTTGTGCTTGGCTTTGATGCTGGCCTCGAACGTGTTGAGGTTCTCCCGTTCGTACTCCTTGACGTCGGCGGCGACGCGCTCCAAGATGTCGTCGGGGGAAGGCGATCGGCTACGTGTGCTGCTCTGAGGGCTGCTGGGCTCCGACACCATGTTGGTCTCCTCGTTCGCCGTCTTGTATTTCTGTGTGGAGACAAGAGGAACGGGTCAATCCAAGAACCGTCAGCTTCCTCTCTATTGAATTACCAGCAGATGTGTGTGTGGAGAACGGAGTGGACGTGAACTGACCTGGACGATGGCCATGCGCTGCTGACGGCGCTGCTCAATAAGAGCTTCTTCATCGATCTCCTCACCTTCGAAGTCTTCCAACCTGCAAACACCAAATAAAACCAATAAGTAATCAATTATGTGATCACCTACCGGTTTCTTTACACAATCGCTTTCCAAAAAGAACAGATTTATTCGGAACAGTAGTGCATGCACGCAACATGGTTTTTAGAATGTCTAACAAAAAGTACAGAGCCTAAAAGAGAAATGTCTTTTCTCACATTTCATCGTCTGAAGATTCCTGGTCAAGTTTCATTCCCTCTGAAAGGCTTCCTTTGAACTTGTCTTCATCTCTGCTGCGTCGTCTTCTTCTCTCCCGATCCCGGGACATTGAGCGCCGATACTGGCGGAGTCTTCCATACCGGTCTCTCTCACCAGACCTGCAATTCATGCATGGGTAGATTTAGTAATCAGTAATTATACGCAACTACTGAGTAAACTACTTTCGAAAAGCACAAAAACATTTTCTATCACAAAGGATGAATTCACAGTCAAACCATGAGCAGGAATTACCTGCGCCTGAGTGGAGACCTGCTTCGCCTGCGAAGCGAGGAGCGAGAGCGTCGTGGCAGCGATGGAGACCTCCTCCTCAGAGGAGAGCGACTCACTCTGCGACGAGACACCGACCTGGGACTCTTCTCCCGTGTTCTGTCTCCGAGTGGTCCGGCATCGGCCCTGGATCGCTTTCTGCATAAGGAATCCACCATCATGATATGTCATTCCATGCATAACTGACTCTAGCTAAGGCTAAAAAATGAAAATTTGACAAGTTATATTGATTTTAAAATGAAGGAAAGGGGCCTTTCCATTTTAGGTCCATAAAAGAAAAATTAAAAATGAAAACCAGGACAGAGGACAGAATTTTATTGGAATATTTAGAAGGTTGGGGTACTATTATGTCAGCAATATAATTTGTGATCCATCAGTAATGAAGAGTTTAACCCTCTTTCGCTCTTCTCTAAAGACAGTTTCTGTCTTCAGATCTTTGAACTATTAAATCTTCAATAAGCTCTATGGTTAACCTAACTGGTGCTTTCAACACAAGTTTCAGATCAGATCATTTCTATTGACTTCTAAATTATTAAAGTATTTATTTTCAATCATCACATCACAAAGGTCTCACTCAACGCTTCTTGGTCACTAGCTGGCGGATTTGCTGCTATTTAATTTAGTTTATTAAATAATAAAATTTGATTAAACCGTCCAGTTTGTCTTTTAAAATGCTTCAACATTAAAAATCGGAACTGTTTTAATCCACACGTGTTTGAAAGAAAAATGATGTCTCCTTGTATACTTATAATCCATTCTTACAGTTTTTTGCTGTCGGAAGGCCTAACTGGATGTTTACATGAGACCAATAAAATAGGATTTTATGGGCAACACAGTTCTGGGAAACACTGCTGTGTTTACGTCCCAATTCCAATTTTCCAGTTTCTTCTGCATCTTTTTCCACATCAGTTTTTCCTTCCATTCATCTTTCCATTAATTAAGAAACAGCCAATTCTTTCAGAAATGACTTTTTGTGGCACACTCTCCCATAAAGAGTGTTAATGGCTGTCTGCTCGACAAATATCAAGTTAGCAGCAGAACCTATCTTCAAAAATCAAGTTTTATTGGTCTTATGTAAAATTCAGATTTTCTGAATACGTTATCATCAAAACAAACAGAAATAAACTTCTGAAATATATCTCTCTGTGTTTTGATTTGAATTAATAACATGTCACATTTGTGATATTTTATAGGCATTTGCAGTTGCTAACCCACCTTAGAGGGGAGTCCTGTCTGTCTACCTCCCTCCTCCTGGCGTCCGGTGAGCGACTGCGCGCTCTCCTGGGCGGAGACCTTCTGGGTGGAGAATGTTTTGAAATCCGGTCCGAGGCGCTGGCCGAGGTGTGGTGGGTGTCTCTGTGGCGGGGGGAGGCGCTGCGTTTCCTTGCTGGGCTGTGGCCTCCTCGTCTATGAGGAGAGCGGTTCTCTTTCCCCAGCGAAGCGTCCTTGGACGGCGACTTCGCCGGCCGTTTGTCGCGGTCGGCGTCTGAGCGACTCGGCCGTTCTCGGACGGGCGATTTGGAGCGTCTGCTCGTTCTGTCCTGGTTTGGTCTTTCTTCTCGCTGCGGAGGCGAACGCTTGTCGGTGCGACTCACCTTCTGCTCGTTCCTGAAGCTGGGAGGGGAATTGGACTTCCTTTTCTCCTTGAAGCGATCTGTGCTGGCTGACTGTTTTCTGTCTTTTGACCTGCTCCTTGCTCGGCTTCGGTCTTTAACTGCAGCTTCCTTGCTGCTTTTGGTCCCCTTGTCTGGCTTTGCCTCCTTAGCAGCTTTATCTGCAGACTTGCTCCGACTGCGACGCTTGGAGACGGATTTACTGCCATCTGTTGAGTCCCTTCTAGATTTCCCACTTTTTTCCCCTCTGGGAGATATGAGTTTACCTGAGCTGCCCCTTGGACGCTGTTCTCCGTTTCTGAACCTCGCCTCTCCGTCCTCCTCGGATCCGGAGTTATACCCCTGCAGGATCAAGCCCATGCCAGACTGAACTTTCCCCTCCATCAACTGGTTGTCCAGTTCAGCTTTGATCAGGGCCCTCTGCTTCTCCAGGTCCTCCAACACGGCCCGGTCGTCCAGACTCGGGTTTCCGGAGGACGGAGAGGATTCCACCTTCCTGTTGCCGGCCGAGACGAAGGGGGCATCTTCGGCGGGGGAGGAGGTCTCTTTGCGTTTATGCTTCCGATGTTTGTGACGATGCTTACGCTTCTTGTCCTTGTCTTCCTCGGCTGCGTGTTTGTGCTTTTTGTGCTTGCTGCGATGTTTGTGTTTTTTCCTCTTGTGTTTCCCGCTGCTGCTGCTGTGATGCTTGGACCCTTCCTCAGTCTTCTCACCATTAGTTCCAGCTTGCTCCTGGGTTGGGACAATAAAAGGAATAAAATGCATCAGTGCAATGATGGAAGGAAGACTTGTTTTACTTTCAAGCTAAATAATCAGTCCAACATCAGTATCTGTCAAATTTTCAAGTTTATATGCATTTTATATGGACTTAAAGTAAGGAAGCAACAAATCAGTAATGTAGAGTTTGCTGTTTTAATTATCTGTTTTACACACATTTCGCTTAAATCCATTCAAGTTAATTTTCTTGAAATCCCGGAAAAAAATATTTATGGTAAAAGGCATGCAGACACTAAATTTAAATTTTAAACATTTAGTTAAATTAAATATGAACCCGCGTTTGTTGTCAACTGTTAGTTTTTACCTCTTCCCCTTCTTCTTCTGACACGTCTCCACTGTCTTCATTTCCACTCCTCTCATTTGTCTCCAGGTCTTGCTTTCTGTTTATTCAGGACAAAAATATTAATGCTGACAAAAAAGTTCAAGATTGCAAAATGAAAAAAAACTTCAAAGTAGTGCAAGACAAATTGGCAAAAAAAAAGGTTTTCACAGGTTTTATGGTGAAACAATACATGTTAGACAACTGTAAATGATTTTATTTGCTTGAACCATTTTGATTTCAAAAATACAATTAACACCACTAACAACGCTCCAAATGGCTTGCATTGAAGTTCAAAGAAATAAAACCTAATAAAACTAATACTTCAAGTAAGCCGCTAAAGATCAAGATATTGTGTTGGAAACATATTACAGATATTGCTATTTCTGAAATTCTATCGCAATTCAAGAATTTTCTGAAATTGTGCAGAGTTATCTCCTGTGCAACAGGACAGATGTTTTAGAGCTGCAAGTACACACGCAGAATGTACAATTTCAAGCAAGTATCTGCTGTATTTCTGTTTAAAGCAGTCTCCATAGAAACATGTCTGAATCCAACTGCACCTCCTGGCAGGATGAAAGTTAACATATTTCTATCCAGATGATGTGAGACAGTCCGATGCTGTGGTGGATGGAATATGAATTCTGGATGAAACCAAAAATAAGAGGACCTTGATCTTGACCTATTTCTTTATGATTTTGATATTGTGATACAACCTGTAACTTTTTGGTGAACTTTTTAACTTAAAATCCAAAAGGTACCAGTTTTGGTGAAATAAAAAAAAAAAAAAAAAAAAAAAAAAAAAAAAAAAAAAAAAAAACCTTAAATTAAAAAAAATTTTTTTTAAAAAT